TCATTGGGAACTCAGCCGCGACGAGGGCGCCACACATGCACAACAAGCTAAGTAACAACGAGAATTCAGATCCGTGCGCCCCCTCTGAGGAACGAACAACACGCACATACCAGTAGGGGGGAAGGAGGAGGCTGTGGGTTATTGCCGAATGGGGGTCCCCGCTCGAACGGGAGCCTTCCCTCGGTTCCGACAACTCGCACCCATAACCATAGCCAGTCCTGCTCCCGCCGACCCCCCTATGGGTATGGGTGTGTGTGTGTGTGTTGTTCGTTCATCACCCCCTCTCCGTCGCAGCCTCATGCACTCGGCCTCCGCGAACGCGAGGATAAAGCCCGGTTGGATTGTGCGGAACTCCCGGTCGAAGAAGCGTGTGGTGACGTAATAGGCCAGGCCTTGGTCGGCCCTCCTTCTCTTCACTCTTCGCATCCTCATCCCCTTCCTCATCGTCGTCTTCGTGGGCTCCCCTCCCCTCGCACTTACCGCGCGTCTCCTTTCTCCAGGACGGCAGCCAGTGGAATCCAAGCGTGATGCTTGAGTTGGAGCAGGGCGAGCTGAGACAACGGCAGCCTGCAGCTCCCAAATCAGTCCCTGGACCCCTCCCGGGGCCCAAACAAGCACCAATTTTCCAAGCTGCGTCGACTCGTGGCGACGAGGGCCACCTCCAAAGGCCAACTACGGCAGGTTCGTGTCGTGCCGATTTCGGCGTTGGTTGCTGACACCGCGGGGATCGTTCAGCCTTGAACGATCGGCCGTTTCCGAAACGTCCAAATCTTTTCGATTCGAACGACTCTGGGTCGCCCGCGGCGTTCAACCTTGAACGCTGGCGGCGAGGTCGCCGCCGGTCGACACGACGCGAACCTGCCGTACCGTTGCCTCAACTCGCCCTCCTCTGACTGAGGCTCTGCTCCGCATGCCGCACACGGGATGGACCACGGGCCCCCAGGCACCCACTCTGGGGCCAGCGGTCCGGCGCGGCCCGACTGGTCGCAGGCGCCCGGCTCTTCTGGGCATCCGAGGGCTCCCAACTTCGCGCTTCGCGCTGCGCGAAGCGCGAAGTGCGAAAAAATTCGCGCTCTCTCGCGCCTCCCAGAGGAGAAGAGGAGAATAAAGGAATCGGAGCCGAACCGCGAAGCGCGAATAACTTCGCGCCCTGGAGGGCGCCCTTGGCATCCAGCCCCGCGAGGGGCCACGCGCGCGGGCGCAGAGGGTCGCGCGACCCACGCGGGGTCGCGGGCGAGCCGCGTGGGGGGAGGGATCCTTGGCCCCCTAGATGGGGTCGGAGTACATGGGGTCGGAGTAGATGTGGGGTCAGAGTATCGCGCCGCATCGCCGATACATCGGCGATGTATCGGCAATGCATCGGCGATGCACCAGCGATGCATCGTCGACGTCGGCGATGCACTGGAGACGTCGGCGCATCGGCGTGGCGGCGCGATCCTCCGACCCCATCTACTCGGAGACCCCATCTAGGAGGCCTAGAATCCTTCGGTCCAATCACGCGAACGAAAATGGAGGCAACTCCTGCGAGGGCCTTGAGGCCAGAAATAGGCTAGACCTGGGATTCAGGGGGATGACATGGGATGCAGCCCGATGAAACGGGATCATGCCTGGTTGGACCAAGCTCCGACCACGGAATCACCAGCGCCGAGGTGAGTGGAGGGAGGGGAGGCCGCGGGGCTCGCCGAGTCGCCGGCAGCCGCCGGCAATTAAGTCACAACTCGGTCCGGTCTGCGGAGGAACCGCGCCGTCTGCCCAGGGCGGGGGGGGGCGGGGGGCACCCGGGGAGGCTGGGGACAGGCGCTCCCGAGGGGCAGCAGGAGGACGAAGAAGGGGGGACGAAGCGGGCGGTGAGCAGGCAGCAGGAGGACGAAGACAGGGGACGCAGAGGGCGATGAGCACGGCCCGGGCGGGCCGTCCCCCCTGGGCGCCGCGCCGTGCGTGTGCGGGTGCCCGAAGTCGGCCGCGATGAGCCTCGGGGCCGCCCCGTCGGCCCCGTGCAGCCACAGCTCGAAGGCGAAGGCGCGCCCCTGCTCGGCCATCTTCCTCCACACGGCCTGCTCGGCGGGTCGCCGGCGCGCCTCGTCGGCGCCGTCGTCGTCCACTCGCGGCCTGCGGCGGGGTCGATCGATCGCCCTGCCGTGGCGCGGTGTCCGGTGGTGTCCCGTGGTGTCGATTGTGAGGTCGACTGTGAGATCGATCGTGAGATCGGAGAACAAAAAGAGCGTGATGTCGCTGGTGAAGCTGACTGTGAGATCGATGAGATCGACAGATAGAAGGAGATCGATGGTGAGATCGACAAAAGGATAGAGAGTCAGATCGATAGATAGATGACCGGATAGATGATCCGTGGTGCCCCCCAACTGGTTTCCGCCGAATCCGATCCGACCTCATTCGCATGTCGAAAGCTGAGCTCCCACCTCTACAACCTCTTTATCACCCGAAGGGTGGTCGTATGGTTCCCATGATGTGGCACGCTTGTTTGTTCAAGCCCTGGGGGGAGGAAGGATGGAGAAGGGGGGGAACTGGGTGGCAGATGCTGCAGGAGAGGCGGCATGAGGAAGAATGGGGAGGGAGAGCGGAAGACACATCCAGGTTACCCAACCTTTTCACCCTCCCTCCTCCGAGCCGCCTCCTCCCCCCACCCTGCCACCCCTTCTCCTGCCCTCCTCCCTCCCCAGACCTCCGACGTCGTGCTTCGTTCGTGGCGTGGTGCCCTGCTGCTCTCGGTCCCATCCCCACGGACGGCTCTTCATCCTGGGCCGTCGTGTGACACGCAGACCCCGGGCCCGCAATCGGCGCCCTCTTTGGCGTCGCTGGCGTCGGCGTCGCCGTGGCGCGTCGTCCGCGACGTCGTGGTGTTCTGCGCGCCACGCTGAGAGGCTTTCTGGGCCCCCGCTCTCCTCGGCGCGCCGGCGCTCTCTGCCTCTGCCCGGCGGTGACACCCCGCCCCCGCCTCGAGGCTGGCCCCGACCCAGTTGTCGTCGCCGTGGTGCTCCTCGCTCGCCAGGACTCCTCCTGCTCCTCCTGCTCCTCCTCCTCCTCCTCCTCCTCCTCCTCCTCCTCCTCCTCCTCCTCCTCCTCCTCCTCCTCCTCCTCCTCCTCCTCCTCCTCCTCCTCCTCCTCCTCCTCCTCCTCCTCCTCCTCCTCCTCCTCCTCCTCCTCCTCCTCCTCCTTTTCCTCCTCCTTTTCCTCCTCCTTTTCCTCTCCTTTTCCTCCTCCTTTCCTCCTCCTTTTCCTCCTCCTCCTCCTCCTCCTCCTCCTCCTCCTCCTCCTCCTCCTCCTCCTCCCCCTCCTCTTCCTCCTTCGCCTCCTCCGCCACGGCCTTCGCCTCCGCCTCAGCCTCCCCTCCCCTCCTCCTCCTCCTCCTCCTCCTCCTCCTCCTCCTCCTCCTCCTCCTCCTCCTCCGCCTCCCCCCCTTCTGCTCCTGCTCCTCCTCCTCCTCCTTTTTCTCCTCCTGCTCCTGCTCCTCCTTCTTTTTCTCCTCCTCCTCCCCCTCCTCCTCCTCCTCCTCCTTCTCCGCGTCCCGACTCCTTATGCCTTCATTGGACGTCGAGCAAACTCAGATGTATTGGGATCGTAGTTCTTGTGTGTGGCAAAACATGTCATCAGCGAGCTGTAGAACCGTCTTGGACACAGTCTACATAGATGAAGCTGCAGACAGATGCGGGAAACAGAGGTGCGAAGTGGCTGACTCCACCTGACTTCTCCTCCTCCTGACTCCTCCTGGCTCCTCCTCCTCCTCCTCCTCCTCCTCCTCTTTTTCCTCATCCTCCTCCTCTTCAGGTCTTGGTGCGCTGCAGGTCGTTATTCGCCCTCCGCAGGCCCCTCTTGCTCCAGGACACCCCCAGCGAGCCCACGCGAGACCTCCACGTGGCTCTCGAGAGACCTCCAGAGGCCCGCCCAGAGCCAAGAAGCCTCGAAGAGGGGAGATGCCTTCCGAGAGACCCCAAGAGGCCCCTTGTCCACGACCCACGCACGGAGGTCCGTTGAGCCGAAGGCCACTAGATCTGGCCCGGCACAGAAACGGAAAGAGCGCTTCAGAAACAGAAGCCGAAATTACTCACACCACCGTTCGTACTGGGAGCCTTGGCGTTGAGAGCTTGTTACGTCACCCCTCGCTCTTGGGAGCCTTGGTGTTCAGAGATTGTTGCGTTGCCGCCCGTTCCTGAGCCTTGGCTGGGCCTTGGTGTCAGGAACTTGTTACGTCACCGCTCTCTGCTGGGAGCCTTGGTCTTATCAGCTTGTTTACGTCACCGTTCGCTCTTGGGAGCCGTGGTGTGAAGAGCTTTTTGCGTTACCGATCGCTCTCTATTTGGCGTCTCTGGGCCTTCTTGGGAGTCCTATTGGGGCCCTTTTGGAGCCCTTGTGGAGGCCTCTTGGGAACCTCTTGGGGGCCTCTTGGGGCTTCTTGGGGGCTCTGGGGGCCTCCTGGGAGTTTCTTGGGGCGAAAGGCTAGACTTTTCGGTTCGTGGTCCCCCTCTTGGGGCCGTCTTGGGGCCCTCTTGGGCCGTCTTGGGCGCCTCGTGGGCCGTCTTGGCGCCCTTTTGGGCCGTTTTGGGGGCCTCTTGGGAGCCTCTTGGGCCGTCTTGGGGCGGTCTTGGGGCCCTCTTGGAGCGTCTTCAATGCAGTGAAAGCCGAAAAGCCTTGTATGCTAAAAATGTACATTTTCCCATAGGAAATCCATGACTTTCGCCTCCCGGTGGCCACTTGGGACGCCTCTTGGGGACCTCTTGGGGCTTCTTGGGGGGCTCTGGGGGCCTCCTGGGAGCCTCCTGGGAGCGTCTTGGGGCGAAAGGCTAGATTTTTCGGTTCGTGGTCCCCCTCTTGGGGCCGTCTTGGCGCCCTCTTGGGCCGTCTTGAGCGCCTCTTGGGCCGTCTTGGGGCCCTCTTGGGCCGTTTTGGGGGCCTCTTGGGAGCCTCTTGGGCCGTCTTGGGGCGGTCTTGGGGGCCTCTTGGGCCGTCGTCAACGCCGTGAAAGCCGACAAAGCGCATATGCTAAAAATATACGTTTTCCTATGGAAAACCTATGATTTCGGCCTCTTGGGGCCCTCTGAGGACGCCCCTTGGGCGCCTCTTGGGGGCCTCTTGGGGGCCTCTTGGGTCGTCTTGGGCGGTCTTGGGTTTTCTTGGAGCGCTCTGGGACCGTCTTGAGGGGGAACCCGAAAAACATGCAAAAACCCAAGGGAAAACCCGAACATGGCCATTCACACGCAGGTCCACACGCTTCGCCCCTCCCCTAGAACCCCTCCCTTTAGGGCTTCGCCCACACCAGAACGTCATCACTCGTACCTCGCTCTTTCCGTTACCTGGGCCCGGCACGGAAACGGAAAGAGCGCTTCAGAAACAGAAACCGAACTTACTCACACCACCATTCGTACGGGGAGCCTTGGCGTTGAGAGCTTGTGACGTCACCCCTCGCTCTTGGGAGCCTTGGTGTTCAGAGATTGTTGCGTTGCCGCCCGTTCCTGAGCCTTGGCTGGGCCTTGGTGTTAGGAGCGTGTTATGTCACCGCTCTCTGCTGGGAGCCTTGGTCTTATCAGCTTGTTTACGTCACCGTTCGCTCTGGGGAGCCTTGGTGTGAAGAGCTTTTTGCGTTACCGATCGCTTCATTTGGCGTCTCTCGTCCTTCTTGGGAGTCCTATTGGGGCCCTTTTGGAGCCCTTGTGGAGGTCTCTTGGGAACCTCTTGGGGGCCTCTTGGGGCTTCTTGGGGGGCTCTTGGGGCCTCCTGGGAGCTTCGTCTTGGGCGCCTTTGGGGCCGTCTTGGGGCCCTCTTGGGCGGTTTGGGGGGCCTCTTGGGAGCCTCTTGGGCCTTCTTGGGGCGGTCTTGAGGGCCTCTTGGGCCGTCGCCAACGCCGTGAAAGCCGAAAAGCCGGGTATGCTAAAAATATACGTTTCCCCATGGGAAATCAATGACTTTGGCCTCCTGGTGGCCTCGTGGGACGCCTCTTGGGGGCCTCTTGGGGCTTCTTGGGGGGCTCTTGGGGCCTCCTGGGAGCGTCTTTTGGCGGCGCGCACAACGGGGTGGGGGAGGGGGAGGGCTTCTTATAAGCAGGCTGCTTCTTAGAAGGCGCTGGCCTTACATCTATAGATAAGGCCCGCGCCTTCTAAGAAGCAGGGGTGCTTCTAAGAAGCCCTCCCCCCTCCCCCCACACCCCTCTGCGCGTGGCTGAGTCTTGGGGCGAAAGGCTCGACTTTTCGGTTCGTGGTCCCCCTCTTGGGGCCGTCTTGGGGCCCTCTGGGGCCGTCTTGGGCGCCTCTTGGGCCGTCTGGGGGCCATCTTGGGCCGCTTCGGGGGCCTCTTGGGCCGTCTTGGGGCGGTCTTGGGGGCCTCTTGGGCCGTCGTCAACGCCATGAAAGCAGAAAAACCGTATATGCTAAACATGCACATTTTCCGAAGAAAATCAATGATTTTGGCCTCTTGAGGCCCTCTTGGGACGCCCCTTGGGCGCCTCTTGGGGGCCTCTTGGGGGCCTCTTAGGCCGTCTTGAGCGGTCTTGTGCTCTCTTGGAGCGCTCTTGGGCCGTCTTGGGGGGGAACCCGAAAAACATGCAAAAACCAAAGGAAAACCCGAAACCAGCCATTACCAACCCTGCGCCCCCGCCTCGCCCCTCCCCTGGACCCCTCCCTTAAGGGCTTCGCCCCGCACTAGAACGCCATCACTCGTATCTCGCTCTTTCCGTTACCTGGGCCGGCACGGAAACGGAAAGAGCGCTTCAGCAACCTGCCCGAGAGGGCTCATGGCACAATTCGCTCTTGGGAGCCTTGGTGCTAAGAGCTTGTTGCGTTACCGCTCGTTCTTGGGAGCCGTGCTGGCAAGCGCGTGTCACGTCACCGCTCTCTGCTGGGAGCCTTGCTGGGAAGAGCTTGTTACGTCACTGCTCTCTGTTCAGAGTCCTCGTGCCCAGAGATGCTTACGTTGCCGCTCGCTCTTGGGAACCTTGGTGGTAAGGGCCTGTTACGTCACCGCTTGCTCTTGGGAGACTTTCTTGTAAGCGCGTGCTACGTCACCATTCTTAGTTGGGAGCCTTGCTCCTCCCTCCTCCTCCTCGTCCTCCTCCTCCTCCTCCTCCTCCTCCTCCTCCCTCCTCCCTCCTCCCTCCTCCCTCCTCCCTTCTCCCTCCTCCTTCTCCTCCTTCTCCTCCTTCTCCTCCTTCTCTCTTCTCCTCCTCCTTCCTCCTCCTCCTCCTCCTCCGCTGTCCTCCTCCCTCCTCCTCCCTCCTTGCTCCTCCCTCCTCCTCTCCTCCTCCTCCTCCTCCTCCTCCTCCTCCTCCTCCTCCTCCTCCTCCTCCTCCTCCTCCTCCTCCTCCCCCTCCCTCGTCCTCGTCCTTTTCCTCCACCTCCTGTTTCTCATCCTCTTTCTCCACCTCCTCCTCACTCCTCCTCCTCCTCCTCCTTCCTCCTCCTCCTCCTCCTCCTCCTCCTCTCCTCCTCCTCCTCCTCCCCTCCTCCTCCTCTCCCTCTCCTGCTCTTCCTCCTCCTCGTCTCCTCTTCCTCCTCCTTCTACTCCTTCCTCCTCCGCCTCCGCCTCCTCCTCCTCCTCCTCCCTTGGCCTCGTCCTCGTTCCTCGTTCCTCCTCCTCTGCCTCCTCCTCCTCCTCCTCCTCCCTCCTCCTCCTCCTCTTCGTTCTCCTCCTCCTCCTCCTCCTCCTCTTCGTCGTCGTCCTCCTCCTCCTCCTCCTCCTCCTCCTTCTCCTCCTGGGGCCTGCTTGAGAGCCTCTTGGGGCTCTCTTTGGGCCGTTTGGGGGCCCTCTTGGGCCGCCTGGGGGCCCTCTTGGACAGTGTTCGGCCCCTTGGACAAGTTTGGGCCCCTTTGGGGCGCCTCTGGGGCCGTCTGAGGGCGATTGTGGGGGCCTCGTGGGCCGTCTGGGGCCCTTCGGGGACTGAACAGGGGAGAGCCCGAAACACCTGCAAACAACCCTAAAGAAAACCCGAAACCAGCCTGCCTGAGAGAGCTCACGGCACTCTTCGCTCTTGGGAGCCTTGGTGGTAAGAAC